TGGAAAGCTGCTTGACCACGGGTAACTCCTGCAGGAAGGCCCTGACCAGCCAGAATCACTGCCACACTCTCACCGACCTTTCCTGCATGAATCTTGGTTGATGTGCCAGATGTAAATGTAGTGGATCCAGTTGTTGAGCCAGAAGTAAATCTGGAACCTGAGGATCCAGCTGATGTGCCAGATGTGAACCTAGAACCAGATGATCCAGAGGATGAACCAGAGGTAAACCTAGAACCAGATAGACCAGCAGAGGAACCAGTTGATGTTACTCCACTAGTGGATCCAGCATTGAAACTGGAACCAGATGTAAAGGTTGAGCCAGAACTGATTCCAGAGGTGCTGGTAGCAGGGACAGAAACCTGGATCTGACCACGAGTGACTCCTGTTGGCACAGTGTTTCCAGCCAAAATTACTGCAACACTTTCGCCATTATTTCCTGCAAAGGTGGAAGCAGAAGATCCGGAGGAGAATCCAGTTGTGGCACCAGATGTGGATCCAGAAGTGAAAGTGGAAGATGATCCTGAGGAAGTACCAGCAGAGGATGTGAACTGAGATCCTGTAGTTTCGGCAGAGCCAGCGGAGAAGCTAGTTTCGGCAGAGGAATCAGAAGAAAAGGTTGATCCAGAGGTGAAGCTAGCTCCCCTGTTTCCTGAAGCTCCAGAGGCAGCATTAGCACCAACTGCTGCAACCTGGAAGGCTGCCTGGCCACGAGTGACTCCAGCTGGGATACCCTGTCCTGCTAGGATAACTGCAACACTGTCACCAACCTTTCCAGCGTGAATCTTGGTCGATGTACCAGAGGTAAATGAAGATGTAGTGGACCCAGTAGATGCACCTGAGGTAAATCTGGAACCAGATGATCCAGCAGACAAGCCAGCGGTGAAGGCAGAACCAGATGAGCCAGAAGTCAAGCCAGAGCCAGCTGATCCAGATGATGAGCCAGAAGTGAACCTAGAACCAGATGATCCAGAGGATGAACCAGAGGTAAACCTAGAACCAGATAGACCAGCAGAGGAACCAGTTGATGTTACTCCACTAGTGGATCCAGCATTGAAACTGGAACCAGATGTAAAGGTTGAGCCAGAACTGATTCCAGAGGTGCTGGTAGCAGGGACAGAAACCTGGATCTGACCACGAGTGACTCCTGTTGGCACAGTGTTTCCAGCCAAAATTACTGCAACACTTTCGCCATCATTTCCTGCAAAGGTGGAAGCAGAGGATCCAGAGGAGAATCCAGTTGTGGCACCAGATGTGGATCCAGAAGTGAAAGTGGAAGATGATCCTGAGGAAGTACCAGCAGAGGATGTGAACTGAGATCCTGTGGTTTCGGCAGAGCCAGCGGAGAAGCTAGTTTCGGCAGAGCCAGCGGAGAAGCTAGTTTCGGCAGAGGAATCAGAAGAAAAGGTTGATCCAGAGGTGAAGCTGCTCCCCTGTTTCCTGAAGCTCCAGAGGCAGCATTAATACCAACTGCTGCAACCTGGAAGGCTGCCTGCCACGAGTGACTCCAGCTGGGATACCCTGTCCTGCTAGGATAACTGATACACTGTCACCAACCTTTCCTGCTTGGATCTTGGTTGATGAGCCAGAAGTGAACCTTGAACCAGATGATCCAGCTGAAGAGCTAGAAGTAAACCTTGAACCAGAAGATCCAGCTGAAGAGCTAGAAGTAATCCTTGAACCAGAAGATCCAGCTGAAGAGCCAGATGTGAACCTTGATCCAGTAGATGAACCAGAAGTAAATCTAGAGCCAGAGGTTCCCGCTGACACACCAGAAGTAATCTTGAGCCAGAGGATCCAGAAGAACCAGAAGTAAATGTAGATGCTGCGTTTCCAGAGGCCGTATTGGCAGCTAAAGATGCAGTCTGGAAAGCTGCCTGACCACGAGTAACTCCAGCTGGAAGACCCTGACCTGCCAAGATAACTGCTACATTCTCCCCAGCATTTCCTGCAGAGGTAGCGGTGGCAGAACCAGAAGAGAATCTGCTTGAAGAGCCAGAACCAGACGAGAATCCTGCACCAGATGAGATTCCTGCTGCATTTCCGGTGGATCCGGCAAAGAAGGAAGAGCTAGTGGACTGTTTATTTGATACAACATTTTCAACACTAGACACTTCGTTAGAAAAGTCAGAAGCATCAAAAGAGCTTGGGGCTTGAGCTGCTGTGTTGCTTACAAAGCCGGATGATACCTGCCCAAATTTAACACCAGACGAGCCAGATCTTACGGCTCCTGCTCCAAAGGCCTGTGAGCCACCACTCGATTGGGAAGAGAAGGATGAGGTAGACGTACGGCGAATCACTGGCCGGAAACCTTTCTCGTCAGCAACATATTCAACAGTGTGCGTCTCCCCGTTAGGAGCGGTAAATCTGTTGGAGATAAGGCATTGCTTAAATAAAACGAACGAGACAGACACACAGTTAGATAGAAATAGATGCTGAATTTCAAGTTTATTGAACGAAAAATATACTAATAATACTTACGAATATGATCCTGTAACTGCAG